GAAAATCCAATAAAAACGTAATTCCCGAATTTTCCCGATTTTGGCCATGTATACTCCCGAATTTACATGTTTTTACTCCCGAAAAATCGAAGCTCTAGTAATGATTAATTACATTATTAAATGGATTAAAACAACGATTGGATCAATAATTGTGACAAACATTTACTTTTAATCAATAAATTTGGACATAAATTGAAGGCATAAACAAAATAATGACATTTGGATTGAAATCTATTTGAATCAGGCTTTCAAGCTAGACATCCACAAGCGATTGAATTGTGGTACAAAAGTGGTATATAGTGTGCTAGGCTTAACAGTGCAACTACGACTACAGTGAATCCCTGCCTTTGACAAGGCTTTATATATAATGAAAAACAAGGTTTGATGTTAGTCAGCATAGCTACGAGTGCACAGCATATCACAGCATTGAGTGAGGGTACATGAGTGGCACAACTTCTCACACTATATACCACTTTTGTACCACAATTCAATCGCTTGTGGATGTCTAGCTTGAAAGCCTGATTTGAATAAAAGGATGAGAAAAACAATTTGCAATTTAGAGACCAAACTATAGCTGACTTTGAAAGCCGTGGCCAACACTTGTGTTCACTTGTGTTCACTGGTCGTCCTCTTCAGCGGTATTATCAGTACTACTGCGGGAATAGTCGACACTATCTTTGAATGGAATCATATTCTTGTCTCTCGAGAAATAGGCTTTCAATCGCTTCTCTTCTCTCAGTCGTCGCTCTTTTGACACTAAATTTGGGACAAAAATTGAAACAAAGTTTTAAACACTTATAGAAATAGCGATTAATTATGCGATAATAACTCACTTCCCGTTTCATTGTCCTCTCGTTTGGCTTTTTTCTTACTTTGATTTGATTTCTTCGCCTGTTTTGTGGTTTTCTTTGGTTTTTCTGGTTTTGAATTCATTTTCTTGCGATAAATGATAACCGAAACGATAATCACTACCAAAACGGCAACGATTACTAGATTTGCAATGTTTTCATAAAATGGTTATAAATAACTTGAAATCAATGTTCAAGTGATCCATAATTACCACCGATTGTAATATACATTTCTGTTGATATTCACTAATTTTAATCTCTTTTAAAACCGTTATACAAATAAATATCTCAATAAAACAATGTTTGAAATGTCGTGAAATAATACTAATAATAATCACAATAATTGCGATAATTGAAAATTATTAGAAAAATAACTTTATAAATGATTGGTGCGAAACAATACTGAATTAAGCCGTCAGTCATTGGGTTATTGATTTGATTTGTAATTTTTAAATCGCGCGTGAAATTAGACCAAAAATTCAAATATCTCTTTGAATTATTATATTTCAGCTAATTTTCAAACTTATTGCAAAATTGAGTAAAATCTATGAAATTTGTCCATAATTTTAAACAATTAGTTTATTAATACCTCAATGTTTTGCGTAACGATAACCACATTCCTCCTCCTCTTCTATCAGACACCTATAGTGTCATCACTGGAGCGGTTCTGCGACGGAAACGCCACCCACTTATTGGACACCGTATTCAACGCCAAAGACTTTGTATACGCGTATCGCAAACCGGACACCGTATGGCTGTTAAGACACAACACCACTAGTGATAAATGGTATCAATGGGGGGATCAGATGGCAATGAAAGAACTCTTCCCAAGTTTATTAAACTAAAAAACTTATCACTAAAACAAAACTAATTAATTGTTTTCTATCTGAACCCGAAGAATATCCTGCGGACAGCTTCGACGGTGCGTTTGTGATCACCGACTTCTTGCGGTGCGATCTGACAGCTGTGCCGACGTGTGGCTACACTCGCGACGATTTTGACGCCACAAACGTTACGTTTGTATTGAATGGCAAATCGTTTTACCTCATGGATCGGGTCACTGAACGCCTGTTTATGCCGTTTGATTTGAGACAATCGCGCGAACGGTTGCCCTGGGATTTGGATCACACGAAACCGCTTTATGTCAATAGTTTGTTCACTTTCGATGCCGACCGCGTCGACGGTGTCCTATATTTTGCGCCCTTTTTCAACGACACGACTGATCCCAAGCGAATGGTAATGATATTTACCAAAGACATGATCCGCGAGTATGACCTCCGAAACGATCGCATAGTGAAAGCCGAGTATAACGTGTCGGCGAATGTGACCACCGGTGAGGGGAACGGAGGGTTCGTTCACAACAACGGCTACTATTTTGTTGTCAACAATAAAGTGATTGCATATAACAGGACAGAGAAGAATATAAAAGATACCGTGAGTTGATCCGGAGCCACGTGTCTTAAGCACTGGCCAGTTATACGATAATGATATTGATTTATAAATTATAACTTATAATAATGTCTTGATGTGATTAATTAGGGTAAAAATGTTTGGCAGTACTTCAACTGCGCTGATATGCAAATGGTGACCGATATGCCGCCCACACCCGCGCCCACCGTTGCCATCACATATCCAACCAGCCCTACACCGTGTGATCCCGTACTAAATCCAGGAATAACTTGCGATACAATAAGTACTACAACTGTGTCAACACCTGTTCCCACTAATGAATCAGTCGCTGTCGTCACCCACAAAGACATACCAACTTCTGGTGCGCCAAAGACTACGAAAGTACCCAAAAATACAGCCAAAACTAAAGAAGAGGAAAATGAAGAGAGTTTTTTTCAAAAGTATTTGTTGGCAATCATTGTCGTCTCTGTGATTGTCCTGATATTACTCGCAGTTCTTCTGGTCTACACTTTCTATAATCTCTATGTTAGCGATGATACTAAAGATAAGACAGTAGCCGTAGAACAAGACATTGGATCCAATGAAGTGATGGAAACACCAGAAGAGAAGTCTGAATCGGATGGGATTTCTCCGATGAGATCGGAATCGGATCCAAATGTGTCCCAAAAGGATCCAAATGTGTCCCAAAAGGATCCAAATGTATCACAAAATAATGACTAAATATTATTTTAAAAATTGCTTTCATTTGAGTTTAATTAATAGTAAATAAAATTGTTATTTTACATATTTTACAAAGTGATAAAATTAATACAATTTGTTATAAATCTATACAGTATTTAAAAATATTTAATTCATTAATAATTAAAGTACTTTTTAAATAAATTTTGAATATTTTTTCCCCAAACTTTAGTTACTTTATATAACATAACTCTCGCTATAGAATTCAATAGTTTGTAATTGTGTTAAACAATTATCTCAAATCACAATTAATTAAATAAAGGGTATTAAAGTTTTTTAGTTTTGCAAGTTTGAAAACTTTTAATTGTAACTATTAATAAATCAATATTGACATCAAATTGTACTCATAATAAATTTTCACACAATGTTCATAGTTTGTGATCATTTCATAAACATATTGTTTATTTATGTGATATTTATTAAAGCATTCATTAATGATCCGTTGGATATACTCTTAAATGTTATCAAATCCACTAATTTATGACTGAATTGAAGGACAAACGACTGAAATAATGCAAAACTACTGTTTTGCTAACATTTTGTTTTTAAGGTGCAAAAAAACTTTGGACTAAATCTTATTATCAATGAATAGTGTCGCTGAAAAATGTTAATCACATCAATTCACAAAATATATCATATTTCATCAATTCAAATTATATAATCATGTCAAACTGTGTACAAATGTACTTCATTATAAATCTTAATTGTTAGTTAATATTTATTTATAAAATTTAATTTAATAATATAAACCGTAGTCAAATAATTACACACCATATAAAACATAACATTATTTGTAATAAAAATACCAATTTTCCGGTAATATTATCAATAAATCAGAATCCAGTGCTAAATATAGTCTCAAAATTAACATATTTAGCCACAAAACCTGTTAAACCGGAGACCAGTTTATATTGCAAAACAAATGCTCAAACATGTGATATTAATTTTTAATCATTACTATTATTACCGTTAGTAATAATTAATAATTATAACAAATATTATTCTTATCATTACAAATATACATTTCATAAGAGATAATAATTAAGTGTTAAGTTTGATAAAGAAATCCAATTGAATAGTTTTAGTCGTCAGACTATTTGGTGTAATTTGACTTAAAAACATACACGTTTCTAACAACAAAACTACCTTGATAATAATGGCTCAGACATCGGCACCAAATCCAACTATACCTAAATCTCTTCGGTTCCTATTCGGAGGAACAGCCGGGTATTTAATGTCTACTCATTTATTTAATATTCAATTACCATAATACTAATAAAAATTATTTTAATGCCTTAATGAACATAATTGACCAGAATGTTGGCCACATGTTTTGTACAACCATTTGATCTCATCAAAAATAGGATGCAATTAAGCGGTAAATTAATACAAAAAATCAGCAAATTGTTAGACATACAGTATATAGTAAATTATAATTTTTATAATATAAATTACATTAGTAAATTTATTTCTTTCAATATAAAATTATATTGATAAGTATACGACCAAAATGTACTTTAAATCACATTATAAAATATCATTAATTGGTTTGACAACAGTTGCCAATAGTGTTAACTAAATAATCGATATGTAGTTTGAAGTGTTTTTTAAATACTTTACCTGAAAATCAATTACTTTGACAATACAGGCGAAGGCCGAAAGGGAAAGGAGTTTAAGACAAGTTTTCACGCCATCCGATCTGTGGTCCAAAATGAAGGCTTCGGCGGTTTATACGCCGGCCTATCGGCCGGCCTTTTACGACAGGCCACGTACGCCACCGTACGGTTAGGCATATACTCGACACTATTTGAAAAAGTGAGCGTAGAGTACGGCAAACCACCGGGATTTTTGGTTAAGGCCGGTCTCGGCATGATTTCTGGCGGTATCGGCGCTTTCGTCGGCACTCCGGCCGAAATCACTTTAATCCGTATGACATCTGACGGCCGTTTACCTCTGGCCGAGCGCCGCAACTATACCAACGTATTCAACGCTTTGGCCCGAATTGCTCGCGAAGAGGGGGTACTCACCCTATGGAGGGGTTGCATACCGACAGTCACCCGAGCGATGGTCGTGAACGCCGCCCAATTGGCCTCGTATTCACAGTCCAAACAGTGGTTACTCTCGTCGCCGTATTTTGGCGATAATATTTGGTGCCATTTCATGGCCTCAATGATTGCCGGTCTGTTCACCGCCGGCGTCTCGATGCCCGTCGACATCGGTTTGTCTTAATTAACATATTTCTGTCAATTTGATTCAAATGTTATATTTATTTATTTAACACTTTTACCAAAAGCTAAGACAAGACTACAGAATATGAAAATAATCGACGGAAAGGCTGAATACAAAAATGCTTTTGTAAGTGATTTGAGTCTATGTTTTGTGAATTAATTAATGATAATATTTTTGTTGCTCTCATAGGATGTGATGGCAAGAGTGGTCCGAAACGAAGGAGTGTTCGCCCTCTGGAAGGGCTTTACGCCATACTATGGACGGGTGGGTCCGCACACAGTATTAGCCTTCATATTCTTAGAACAGGTCAATCAAACTTACAAACGCCTCGTCTTAAAGGACTTCTCAGGTGGCGGCGGTCTATAGACATGTATTGATATTTTTGACAATTAAAATTAACTAGGTTTTTATTAAAAATTTAACGGTAATTATACACTAATTTTAATAAATCATAAATAAAATTTCATAATTGATAATTATTTTATTGATATTAAAATAAAAATTACCACAATGTAAAATTTACATTGTAAATATGAGTACAGTATAAAATTTTTAAAAATGTTTACAACTCAATTATTTACTTATTTTGCATTTATTCAATATTTTATTTACCAAGGTTTTCAACATGTGACATTTAATTTACATGTTACACGTCAATCAAGTTTTTAAAAATTAAATAATTTCAAAAACAATGCGCTTGTGTTGTGATTCCTGTCCACCCGTTTCTATGGTATCTATGTTTGTGTTAATATTAGTATTCATAACATTTGCTATTTATTAATAGCAACTATATTTATGAATATTCTTTAGATTATAAATTAAATCATTGAAAAAATAGATTTAATACATAATTAGCGATGAATGAGAAGAATGTGTTGACGAGCGCCGGGCTATACATCGATGAGTCCAACAGAATCCGTATAATAGACCCGGAATTGTCTGATAAGACCATTGAATTGAAGACCGAGAGCACAGAATTCACTGAAAGTAATGATTAATTTTAAACATAACTTGTTATAAATTAACCCTATGTTTATCCCAAATAATTCCAGAGACACAACTGTTCCAGAAGATTGTGGACAACTTCGTGGCAATCATTGAGAATTTAGCCCAAAGGGTGGAAACGGAGAAAATTAAAGTAAGTGTTGTTTTTATAGTAAAGTATTGAATGACAAGTTGTGTGACATTTATTACTGCCATTAATAGGCCGTCGGCTCAAGAAATTTGTTGCAATCGTTTGAAAAGCGACACAATTATGATGTGAAACAACTGAAGACATTAATCAAAGAGAAGACACAGGAGTTGGAGCGGTTGTCACCAACACTTGATCCACGCATTATTCTTCTCGGTTTAATAATTGTCTCTTTTCTATGTCTTAGACTTCGAGTACAATACGACTCATTAAAGCGTGAAGAGGCGGAACAATTGGATCTAATCGAGCAAATTATGGTTCAGAAGTGAATTCATTATGATTTCAATACAATAAAAATCAAATAATTGTTTCAAAAAGTCTTTATAAAATATGTGTTGCAAAGTGTACTGCAAAAGCATTGCATCGCTTATACAGTACTGTAAGAATTTGGATACAAAACTAATGCATTGTGTGTTTAAACTGGAAATCAGTCCTAAAATAATTTTTAGGAGTTTTCAATCAATCCAAATGTGTTTCTAAACCATTGTTTCTCACAATGAAATTGCGCTCAAACTTAGCACATGTTTTTAATTTGATTGTTTGTCGCAATTTGTAATTGAAAATGAAGTCATTTAAATCAATTAATCGCAAATTTGACACTAAATTACAAGTTTTGCTTCAATTAAAACAACTCAATAAAAGTTTGGACAAAACTTTGGGCGATTTGAATGAAAAGTTGGCTTCGCTTAAGAGTGACGATAAAAGTCATGAAATTGGCTTTAAATCAATTGATTCGCAAAATGAGATCAAATTATGTAAAATAATTCCTAATTGTGAACCAATTGAAGAACCGAATCAACACAAAGACAACGAAAGTATTGATCCAAATGACAGTTCATTCATTGATATGACGCCAAACGATGACATTATTGGCATTGATTTGACGCAAAGCGATGATAATTGTGGCCAAAAACCAGTGTCGCGAAGAACACGACTCACGAGATCATTGGCTCGTAATCGACAGACAAACCGCAGACCAATTACAAGACAAAAAGCAAATACGATTCAAGACAAGAATGGTGTCCACAATAACGGCAAGAAATTCATATGCGATGAACACAATTGCGGCCAAAAGTTTGTCACAAAATCGCAATTAAAGGCTCATAAAGACCGACACAACGCGACCGCTCGGCCGAGAAAGTCATTTATTTGTGCCGTCAAAGAGTGTAAACATGTTTTTCAGACACGGAAGCGATTACTTCTGCACCAGAATCGTCACAATAGATATCAATGCAATTACAATGACTGCAAACGACGTTTTAGATCCGAAGCCGGACTAAAGACACACAAATCGAGGATTCACTGCCCGAAGAAATTGCGGTCCAAACAAATCAATGGCAGTCAAGGACTCAATTGCAGTCAAGAACTCAATTGCAGTCAAGAACTCAATTGCAGTCAAGAACTCAATTGCAGTCAAGAACTCAATTGCAGTCAAGAACTCAATTGCAATCAAGAACTCAATTGCGGACAAGAAATTGATTGCAGTCAAGGAATCAATAGTAATGATGGTCTCATTGAATGCCAACCCATACCTATTGGTCAACAGCTATTCATTTGCACATATCATGATTGCAATGAATACTTCATCACCAGAGAAGCCATGTCTCAGCACAGAATCAATGTTCACTATAGAGTGCATGTCTTCAAATGCAATGCCAAGAATTGTGGCAAAAGTTTTGGCCGCAAAACACATCTAATTCTTCACAAACGCATTCATTTGGCGAATAAGACATACGTTTGCGGTTTCGTTGATTGTAAGGCCAGTTATTCGCAGGCATTTGGTTTATATCAACACATGATTGTCGCTCACATCAAACCAATCAAATCGTTGTCTACTTTTGGCCACAGATTGTCCCGAAAATCAGACAAATCGACCCAAACTTTACCATCGGATTAAATATCCGCTGATAAGTGAAGACATCAAAGTGAAGACAATTAAGAGTGTAGTAAGCGATTTGAAAATCAATAAAAAGTAAGAAATTGAAACTAATGTTATGACTAATCACTCAATTACTTATATTTAATTACAACATTTAATAAATCATTGAATTTAGTAAAACTTAAACCTTCTCTTCACTGAATCAACTAATTATTATATTTGTTTTTACACTATTTTTACATAATATTTGTTTATTAATTTGTAATACTTTTTTTTTAACCATTCAATTATTCTCATCTCAAGAATTGTATTCAAATTACTATTTTTATCAATAGAAATATTGTTTAATAATTAATTAATAATCAATTGAAAGAAATGCACTCATAATTAATATATGAATCAATTTATTATCCTTTGATATCAGTGTATAATTAAAACGAGATTTTCTTATATATAAAAACATTTTTTTGTCCACAAAATAAGAGCACATATTGTTTTACACAACACTTGAGTCGCGACACAACACTTACAATTAAAAGCCATTTATATTATAAATACAATTACAATAAAATGTATTACAAAACATAAAA